AACGTTCGGAAACCAACCCACAAGCTCGGAGGACGAATCTCCACCCTCATGAGACTTTCTTTCTCCAAAGATGCAGCTGTGAAAGGTGGGGGGGGGAAAGGAGGAAGGCCACACAGCTGTTTCTTTAGCCGCTGTGAGTCGTCACATTCCGGCGCTGCAAATATTCTCTTCCGATTTGTTTGTTGCCCATGTGTGTCAGCAATTTTGGAGGGGGTGGAAAAGCTGTCAGGCTGGAGCCCAAGGCCCTTTGCCTCTCCTGAACACATGTGTTGAACATGTCGTGCCCAACATAACTGCTGGTCCGAGAACAAAGAGCCAAGGATCTAAAATGGAAATGTAGCATGAGCCATCTGCGTTCTAAACCACTGGATGAATTATCTTAAAATAAACAGGATGAAAGAGACCAAACAAGGAGTGAAGTAGTTCAGGCCCAAGGCTATCCCTCCAGGCCCACAGCCCTTCCACGCATGAATTCCATGACACTTCAGACAGGAAAGGGTTTTTACCGCAGCACAAGAGAAAGCTCACCTGAATTTAGCCTATAACATTGCAAACATGTTGGGCCAGCTGGGGCATTAAAAAAAAAAACACCCCTGTTTATTTTTGCATTTATTATGCTAACTCGCACATCCGCTGCACCGCATGATTTCCAGATGTGCACGGAGCCTCCTCAACCCTTGTTGTTCGGCTTTAGTTTCCAAAGTTTTATTGTGGGACTGGGGCCAGACAGCACGCCACAAAACAATTCCACACCTCTTAAAAGATAATAATAATAATAAAGTTGGAAGGGACCTTGGAGGTCATCTAGTCCAACCCCCTGCTCAGGCAGGAAACCCTATACCATTTCAGACAAATGGCTGTCCAGTCTCTTCTTAAAAACTTCCAGTATTGGAGCATTCCCCGCTTCTGGAGGCAGGTTGTTCCACTGGTTAATTGTTCTAACTAGGATAAAACAGGATAGAGGAAGGGGTTTTATGCCCACCCAAATTCCTACCCTCCTGTGATCACACTTCATCAACAGTCAATTATAAAAATACATTAAAGTTCGGGGCAAATTGTAAATCAATATTCCAGTCGCAATTGCCACGGAATCCTCTCTCACAATAAACTACAGGATACAATTTTCACGCAGTAAGTAGAATCAGCTACAATTTTTTTTTTTAAAAAAAAAACGTTCTGGTTTGGAAGGCGGGCTTCCTTTAATGTGTTCCTCGATCAATCCAAACACAAGCACAAGACAAAAGTCTCCCCCAGCAAAACCTAAAGATTGAGAACCGTTTTAGTCATCACGGCAATCGCAACCAATGCAGGGTATCGCTAGAAAGTTGGCGACGCAAAGCTTCGAGTTAACTTAAGAACAATCATTAAGTACAACTGCAGGCGATTATTTGGTTAATGGAGGGGGGCTATGTAAAGGGATATGACCATACATCAAAAAAAAAAACCCCACCCACCCCCCAAAAAAATTGCAACACACAGCAAAATGCCAAAAAGTGAAATGCATGCCAGGCCAATCCTCTAACCTGCCGTCATCGCGGTGAGATGCTGGTCTGATTTTAATACCAGCCTGTTCCAACTTTCTCAGTTTCCCGATTTCCTCTGAGCCATTTTTCTCATTTTGGGGCCCTGCTGTTTGGTTACCAGAACGGGGAAGAAACTGGGGCAAAGGGTTCTTTGGAGCCACGTCCGTCTGCACGGGCTTCGCGGAGGGGGATGCACTGGTCATCCTGCTGCTCATGAAGTCCCCTTCAAGTGGCGGCAGTGGTTCCTCTTGGATGGTTTCGGGATGGCGTTTGCTACTGAGTTACACAGGGCAGATTATTACGCAGAGCAGGACTGATTCCTTAGAACAGGGGTCCCCAACCTACGGGCCACAACCCAGTACCGGGCCGCAGGCTCTTGGCCAGCGGGCTGCAGAAATGGCTGGCCAGGGCGCGCACACATGGGCGCGCATCCCCCCACTCGTGCTAGTGCCTACGACCCTGTTTGTGCATGCATGCGGGCTCGAACAGGAATGCTAGTGTGGGGGGCATGCGCGCCCCGTTTGTGCATGAGTGAACTATCACTGGGAATGTGTGTACGGCCCATTCGCACATGCTGCCGCAGCCATTCGCACACGGGCATGGTGCCAGTGCATGCCGCATGCGTGAACGCGGCCGCTAGTAGTGCACCAGTGGGTGTGGGCCCGTTTGCGTGCGTGCACACGGGCGCACACGCAGTAATTTGGAAGCTGCTCTCCCCTCCGGGCCGTGAGCCCGGAAAGGTTGGAGAACTCTGCCTTAGAACACAGAGTTGGTAGGGACCTCGGAGGTCTTCTAGTCCAACCCCCCTACTGAGGCATGAGACCCTATTACCGCTCCAGACAAATGGTGAACCAGTCTCCTTTTGAAAGCCTCCAATGATGGAGCACCCACCACTTCCCAAGGCAGGTTCCTGGGATGTGGGCACATCCGGAAGCTTTCTTGACCAATCAGCAAACCAGGTAATCAGAATTGGGGGGGGAGAAGCTTGATAGCCAATCAGTTTCAATGCTTCCCTTTGAAGTCTTTCCATCCCATCTGGCTGTAACACAGCCCACAGCATCAAAGGCGTCTTACAACATTACAACTGCTATATGCTGCCTTTGCCATTTTTTTGCATCCTGAAGTTTTAATCTAATCTGGGAAATTTGGGGGGGGAGGGAAGATCTGGACGCCCCTTTGGATTAAGAGTCAACAGTCAATTCTCAGTTAAATAAAGGTCAGCGAACAACGCCAGGAAATTGCACGGGCCAATTCACATCTTATTTCCGTTGTGATTTTTCTCATCTTTTTTTTTTAAAGCCTACGACATTTTGTGGAGTAACGTGAGTCCGCTAACACAGTTTCTACAGGGAGCCCTCGACGCTAAGCCAGACTTTTGTCGAGCAAATTTTGCTCCACTTCACGACCTTCCTTTCCATAATTGTTAAGTGGCTTCCTGCGGTTCTTAAATTCGTCAACCCGGTTGTTAAGCGAGTCTCGCTTCCTCCCCCCCATGACTTTGCTCATCAGAAAGTCGCAAAAGGGGGTCACGCGACCCCGGGGACGCTGCGACCGTCGTAAATGTGAGTCGGTTGTCAAACATCCGACTATAAATATAAATGGAGATGCTGCAACGATCGTGTGAAAAACGGTCGTAAGTCGCTTTTTTCAGCGCCGTTGTAACTTCAAGCGGTCACTAAATGAACTGGTGTAAGTTGAGGACTGCTTGTATTTAGGACTTCACAGGGGTCTTCAAACTTGGCCCTTTTATGACTTGTGGTTCAACTCCCAGAATTCCTCAGCCAGGCACGTGTGCCTGGCTGAGGAATTCTGGGAGCTGAAGTCCACAAGTCATAAAAGGGCCAAGTTTGAAGACCCCTGATGTAAGGCAACTTGGTGGAAGTAGAATGGCTAAGCAGAGGTATGTTGTAGGAGGGGTCTTCAACCTTGGCCACCTCACAACTTGTGGACTTCAGCTCCCAGAATTCCTCAGCCAGCATGCCTGGCTGAGGAATTCTGGGAGTTGAAGTCCACAAGTCATAAAAGGGCCAGGTTTGAAGACCCCTGACTTAACATCTGGGAAGGAGAGAGAGGAGAAACAGGGACAAATGGAATAATGCTGGAAAAGATGCAGTAGATGTTGAGAATGGGTTTAAAGGAGGACCACGGGAGCGAGACTTCAATCCCACCATCAAGATCCTTGTCTTGACTTTTTAGACCTCCCCACACTCCTCCCATAGACATCTCCCGTGAGGACTATGGAAAAAAAGAGAGTATAGGAGGGTTTTTGAAACCATCCTGCCAGCCCAGGAACACAAAGCAGAACAACCGTCTCTGAGAGACGTCGAGAACATCTGAAAAAAGTCCCGGCTTTACAACTGCAGGGAACTGATAGCAAAGCATCCCTCTGGAAACAAAACAGCTTACAGCTAAGAGTGGAGGGGACCCAAATTTCATCAACGGGAGAATGAACCATACTGGCGATGTAATATTCCCAGGAAAAAGTTCATTTGAAACGAATACCAAACCATCAGGCGAGAGCAAGAAAAGTCATCGGTGAACGGGACAGGCACATGCCTTTGTGGGGTCCCTGGTGATCTCTGAGCTTGGGGGTTTTCTTGCCGGCGGTTCATTACTCAAAGTAGGGAACATCATCAGGGCTAGAAGGGAGGAGGAGGAGGAGGAGGAGGAGGAGGAGGAGGAGGAGAAGGAGAAGAAGAAGAAGAAGAAGAAGAAGAAGA